CAGAGTATAGATTCCAGAAATGGAGGGATTTTTGTGTGAAGGTGTGGAAATTCACCAATCTCCCCTAGTTTTTTTTTTGAGTGTGTGCTGATAATGATGGCATAACTATCAATCAAAAGCGCATTTTTTACTAAAAAAAACATAAACATAACAACGATAAGCAATAGAAATTAATGGACGCGAATGAAATAGAAAAATATAATATTAAATAGACGCGTTCGCCCACGTTCCCGTTAGTGCTGATAACGATGTCAATCCACAGCACATTTTTTACTATTAGTTTGCTCCACCTCGCTCTTACAGTGTATTGGCTTTTATCGGTCACCGGAACAAGTGCTTTTTAGAGCCGGGACGCAAAGAATCCCTAACATGCTTTATACTATTCGAAAGCTGAGATAATGGAGAATCGACATGACCGTCGCCTTTTTTCTAGGTCTTCTGTGTCGCGAGATATGAGGGATTCTATGTAATTCAAAAATCAACTGATTTCGTGTTCTCACTTTCTGCTCTCCAAATGAACGCTACGAGAAATTCGACGGTCTATGTTTGTTAATGAAGACTTGCTCTTTAACACAGATAAATAATCAGCATTAGGTCTTCGTTTGGCAGAAATCTGCTGTTAAAAATGGACATGTTTTAGATAAAATGCGGTGTATCTCTCGGTAGAGGGGGGCTAGAAAGAAGTCGACGGTGTAAGTCGAATCCCCTTTTCCTGAGCTTTCGAATGGTATATAGGTTGCTGGGCGAAAACACTTAACAGTTTTCAAAAATGGGGTGGAGATATTTACTATTACCTTGCTCCACCCAGCTCCACCAATGTATTGGCTTTTATCGGTCACCGGAGCAAGTACTTTATCGAGCCGGGAAGCAAAGAAGCCCCAATATGCTGTATACCATTCGAAAGCTGAGATCATGGAGAATCGATTTAGATTGTCGACTTTTTTCTAGGTCTTCTGTGTCGCGAGATATGAGGGATTTTATGTACTTCAAAAATCAACTGATTTTGTGTCCTTACTTACCGTCGCAATATAAACAAAAGAGCTGTAGCTTTGATACAAAGAAGTGTTGATTATATTACTAAAATAAGAATGATTAATTTTCATGGAACTGTAACACTTAGGGACGTATTTATGAATGCTCGGAAAGAGTTTGTGCTTCTGTAGATGCTTTTTTTTGATAAATAAATGATACGAATAAACATAAATGCCATCTCTTTTGTAGATTTATGAGTGTACTTGTTGTTTGAGGTGCTTAGCCTGCAAAACCTTTTGATAACGATTTTCATTTCATATTCTCAGAGTAGAATACCAATCTCAGCCCAGGTGAAGGGAGTCATCCGGAGTTTGGCCTCAAAGTGAAGGGGGTAAGCTCCATCACTCCACCTATAGCAACATGGTGTACAGACGCTTATAACAGAGTGAGAATTAACCATAGAGAAAAGATAAATTGCGACAGGGTAGACACAGTAACGGCCTTTGTAAGTATGCTCAAATTCCAGGTTTTCTTCCGCTGGAACGATTACTAACGGTTTCAGTTAAAAGTCAACAAACTAAAATAATTTTTCAAAACTTATTCAATCGGCTTATAATTGGGCTAGAAGGATAGAATTATATTTCTGTAGTTTCCGGATAAAGCATTTCTCAGAATGCATACTGATTATGTAGGAGGTGATCGGAGGGAAAAATGGGAGTTCCCGTAAATATCATAACTTTAGAATTATGCGAATTGGGTAGCTCTTGCAGCCAGGAAGGTAAACTAGGAAATCTCCAATAGTATATCGATTGGTTGCATAAGTTAGCGTCTCAGTACAGTATAAAGTGGGCGAGACTACAGATTGCGCTGAAAAATCCATAATTTTGCGTAATTCTATACGATTTTAAAAAATCATAAAGGATTTTGACGCTATGAAAGCAGGTAAAAACTGATTGTTAGTATTCCGAATGAAAAAAAAATTACAAAATGGTATTTAAAAGGTGGGTGGAACTTACAGTTCACAGCCGAAAAGTCATAATTTTGCATAAATCTGCACAAATTCAAAATCCGTGCAGCGTATTTTGACGGTACGAATGCCAGTTAAAAAAGAATTGGTAGTATTTCAAATGGAGAACACAAAAACTAATATTTGAGCTGATTTAAGTTGGGTGGATTACGTGCAATTTCTTAAAGCGCTGAAATAAATTTTTTAACGAACTGGAAAAGTGTTTTTTCCTGAAAATGGATGTCGGTTTTTGTTTATCAGCATGAATGAAAATTAAATGGTATGCGTGACTTAGTCTTGTGCTTTGTTGGACATGTATCATCAGATGGCGGATTTGACAGATTGATAGCTCCGCCGACGGTATCCACTCAGACAATCGCTGGGGGCAGGCGCTCAGATAATCGCTGGGGGCAGGCGCTCAGATAATCGCGGGGGGCAGGCGGTCCGCAAACTCGCGTTTTCTTGCAGGCGGTCAGCAGAATTTTGAGGCGTGGCCAAACCTTCAGCGGGCGGTACCTCCTTTACTGTCGAATGTCCTGCTAGCGGGGCAGAATACAGAGTTTCTGCAGGCGCTCGCCAAATAACCTCTTTCAGCGAGCACTGGCCAAACTCTCAGCAGGCACTCGGGCTCTTTTCAAGCAGTTTCGGACGCATATCGAGCAAATGTGAGACTCTATGCTGCAGAGGTGTCATCGATGGTTTTATTACTCAAGTTTGGGATACTTTCCCTTAGCGAAAAGTACCTACTAAAGTACTTACCTAAAGTACCTACGGGCTGTGCGGTCCTTCATGAAGGACAGTGCGGCCCCAACAATTTTGCATATTCTCGCGGAAAGTCCGCGAGAATATGCAAAATCGGGGTTTTCGCGCATTTTCGACTTCATATTCAAGAGAAGTCCTTGGAATGACAAAAACTTGGAAGTCGAAAATCTGGGTGGGGGGTGCCTTTAAAGCGGTGGATATCAGATATTCAACTTCACCAGAACTGAAAGATTGACTGGCGTGAACAGGATCTCAGATAATCGCCGAGGGCAGGCGGGCATGCGATTTTTGGGCAAACGGGCACCGGCAAAATAGTTCGCTGATTTCTTGCGGTTCGCTTGCAGAATTTTGGAAGAATGTTTACTAATTTATAGACGAATGCTCGGAGAACAATCGCGGTTTTTCTATAGATTAGTTGCGGCACAGTGACCGCGTTCTCGCGGACTTTCTCTAAGAATATGCGAAATTATTAAGGGCCGCACGGTTCTTTGTAAAGGCCCGCACAGCCCTCAGGTACTTTCGGCTAAGAGAAAGTACCTCAAACTTGAGTAATTTAACCATCGATGACACATCTGCCGCACACACTCAGATAATCGTCGGGGGCAGGCGGCCATGCGATTTATGGGCGGGCGAACACCGGAAAAATAGTTCGCTGATTTCTTGCGGCCTGCTTGCAGATATTTGGAAGAATTTTAGCGAAATTTGAGACGAATGCTTGGAGAACGATCGCGGTTTCCTCATAGAAGCTGCGGCGCAATGGCCGCATTCTCGCGGACTTTCCGCGAGAATATGCAAAATTTTAAAGAGCAGCACGGTCCTTTGTGGAGAACCGCGCAGCCCCCAGGTACTTTTGGCTAAGAAAAAGTACCTCAAACTTGAGTAATTAAATCAACGGTGACACCTCTGTCACACAGAGTCTTATCTGTGCTCGACGTAAGCCCGGAACTGCGTAGAGTCCGAGCGCCTGCTAAAAGTTCGGCCAGCGTTTGCTTAAAAGATTATTTGACGAGCGCCTGCAGAAAATTCTGTGTTGCTGCCCGCTGACAGAACATTAGACAGTAAAGGAAGTACCGCTCGCTGAAGGTTTGGCCACGCCCCAAAATTCTGCTCACCGCTTGCAGAAAAGCGCGAGTTTGCGGACCGCCTGCCCCTGGCAATTATCTGATCGTGAGCAGTCTCGCCTTTGCTCGGCGTACACCCGAAACCGAAAAGAGTTCGAGCGCCTGCTGAAAGTTTGGCCTGCGCACGCTGAAAGAGATTTTGATGAGAGCTAGCAAAAAATTTTGTATTGCTGTCCGCTGGCAGAGCACGGAATTGCTGAATTTTTGGCCACGCCCCAAAATTTTGCTGACCGCTAGCAGAAAAGCGCAAGTTTGAGTTTGCGGACCGCCTGCCTCCGGCGATTCTGAGATAGATACCGTTCAACTCACTATCGAAATCTCTTCCAATTTACTTCTTCATCTCTTACCTTAAACATGCCGGAAGAACTAAAGGAGTTTGCAATATAAAATGGGTACGATTCCGCACTTCAGCATGTCAAATTACCCCTATGAGCTGTACGTACCATCACATATTACATCTTCTGGTGTTTCCTAGCGTCTAAAAAGCGTGATTTTCAAACATGATTAACTTGGTTTCAAAAGTGAAGAAGACTTTTTTGTACTTATAACATAGTACCATTCTCTATCAATCTATACTGAATTAGACTTCATATCGCATTCAAATAGTGGACTAAGATTGCTGCCAAAATTTCAACCGCTCCGTTTTTTACATTGAATGCTTTAACTCCAAGGATCTCCATGGAAGTTGTGAATCTGGGTGGACGGTGCCTTTAACTTGTCTTCAAAATTCAAAAATCGCTCCATTCCTGGTATGAGTATTGAGGTAGCCTCTTCTTGTTACAGTGATAATTTGTAGCCAAACACACCACTCCTGTTGAAATTATGGCCATTTCCATATGGCAATTCAGACCAAAATCCGCCGTCACATTGCGTGTGTCTGTAAAGCCGTCACAGGACATCGACCGTACAAATATTCAATAACACGGCAGGACGGGATGATCCTTCAGAATGTCACAGTCTGTGGTTCCGGAGGCGAAAGAGGACGAAGGGGTCGTTTGGAAGCCTTCAGGAGAGGGAAGAGGGAGAGGGGTCGTTCTTGAACGGCTGGTGCCTGACCTCTTGCTCAAATCTGGTCCCAGATACTACATGGTCCTCTCTATGCATTTGCAAGCATTCGACTTCCTTATAAAAGCTGATGGTTGCAAATAAATTCTTTATTTATGGTCAAACAATAGGTCGATCACAACATAAGTATACAACTGCATCTGCGGGATACAACTACCAGTGAAGCGGAAAAGTGAAATCTAGCGTTTGTTTCTAATGATAACTATACAAATCACACGTGATGTTACACGGCTCATACAGCCGCATCAAATGCAAGATCAGATTTTCTGTTTTCAAATCGGCACGTTGTGCATTCAAATCGTAATGTGGTAGACGACTGACTAATAGAACAGAATCATCAGTAAACTGTATGGAACTAACTGATTGTCTGAGGCTCGATAGCGCAAACTAGTCATATAAGCAAATCCCGTTGCGCGATGTAATCCTGCTACATGTGAAGCAAAAAAGAGCAAAACTATATGTGAAAACTTTACATGGTTTTATATCATGATGCGAAAACGTCAAGCTTGCGAAGTGATGTAAACAATTTATCGAGCTCCTCTCTTTATCGGAGACTTTTCCCTTACACGTAAAGAAGATCTAGCTCCCTTTCGGATGATCCGGGCAATTGTCCTGGGAAAAGCAATATGACATGCTAATGCAGTAGATCGAAAGAACTATATTGGGTATTCTAATAGATGATATTCTATAACTCCATTGGATGTTTCTACAAAATCTTCACGATGAGGGGAGACGGGAGGGGGAGAGATTTTGAAGACAGAAACATATTGTTAGCATGTGCAAAAACTACGCATTTCTGTTGGCATTAGCCTCCTCGCACTTGCGACAGTAGTAGTGATGACCGTGATCACACTTTTCAAAGTGAAAGTGAGGCGTATCCTTGTGATTCTTCCTGATTGACTCAACTAATTCACCGGCGATGCACTTCTCGACGACCCGACGAGGGAAGTCCTAAATGAATGAATATCGTAGTGATGACATGGGCTAAGATAGTCGGTTGAACCATTTTTTTTAACTTTGACATGGTATTTCCAAGCAAATACTGAAATTAGGCAAGCAGAGTTGACAACCCCTCATTCTTGCACAGTACAAAGTGTTCCAAAAGCGCATCAAAAGTGTTGGTCATGATGGTTTTAATGCAATCTCAATGTATAAGTCGTGGGTACTAACTGTTCTATTTATTTGTGTTTATTTATTTATCTGTATACAGAAGTGAGCTAAAAAGAAACATCCAAAAATATACAAAGATCATTCAAAAAATCATACGAACAATCATAACATGTCGAAAAAGATCACAGTTTCCTTACAGGAAGGACCAGGTCGTTCTCCTTCTTCAAAAAGTGAGGGTGCTTTTACCGAGTTCTTTTTCCCTTACCCGGACGTAGTTTGGGACACCAGCAGGGCCGGTAGTAATCTCCCCAACCTGGCGGCAGGTCTCGTTGGCAGGTCGCTGGCACCTTTTACGTAAGGTGGCCAGAAAGTGAAACCCCAAATTTAGGCCGTCCCAAGCCTTTTTCCATAAAATTTTCTCGATAAAGATGCCGCCTCGACTCTATAGAAAACCCCATAGAAATTTGCGGTTTCAGAACTTCTCCTTCAGGAAAATATCTGGAAGCGTAAGGGGAGCTGCCGGCAACTTCGCGAAGTCGGTTGCCGGCAACCTGCCGGCAGCTCGTCGAAATCCGCGAGATGGCAGCTGCCGGCAGGTCAGAGAGCACGGAAATAGCCTGCTCTTTTGAGAGAGGGAGCTGCCGGCATCTCGACGTGCCCCTACCACGTCGAGGTGGTGGCACCTTTGCCGACGGCGTCTGTGAGTTTGGGTATTGCGGAATATCACACAATTTACGTCAAGCCGACGGACTAGAAAAATTTATTTTCTATCAAAAACAATCATTTTTGTTTATATGGGTTTTTCCTCGTTTAAAGATTCTTTATATATCTGTAGAAAAAATCTTATATATAAAGCTGAATGTCTGTTTGTCTGTATGTCTGTCTGTCTGTATGTGTGTACGTATGTTCCGAATAGAAAATTCCATTTCTGAACCGATCCGGACCAAACTTGGCACACATACGCTTCGGGCCCCGGCGGGTGTCATAGGCTACTTTTCGTCATCGATCGATACCGATTTTATCGATTTTTTGCAAAATTTGAGCTACGGGGCTGGGAGTTGGCACAGAGGGGTAATCGAACATGCTGATTACGAATATAATAATGACAGGGCCGGGCGGAGCCGGGTAAGTCAGCTAGTGGCTAATAATATTACAAAAAGAGAAGGAACGCCATCTTCTTCTTGCAATTCCTTCAAACCTTGTTTGCAAGTTTTCGCCTCTCTCTCGCTCATATCAATCAGCTGTTCTTTCAGGTCAAAGTCTCTCACGCAATGTATCGATCCCTCTTACAGGCGGCCACTTACCAGTGCGTTCCTCCTATTGCTGGTGGAAACGACAATGGCTGACCGAGTGGTCGAATGGTTAACGGGTGGCACTTGAAGTTAACGCGCGTAGGTTCGACCGCGCGCGGTGTAGCAGTTTTGCGGCTGTTTGCGTCATCAAAATTCAATGTGCGAAATGATTGCGTACTAAGGTTATATAAGATTATTATCATAGCCTACAATCACTCCGCGAGCTGCCGGCGGAGTTGGCATTTTTAAAAATACAAATTAGCCTTGTAAAAAAAATTTTCCGGGGGCGTGGCGTCGGCCTTTTTCCACGTTTTAGGGGTTGGGGACCCGCGAAAATTTTGAGAGGCACCCCAAAAATTTTTTCGTAATGCGTGGCTAACGCCACGCACCTTCATTAGAAAAAATTTTTTGTCGCCCCCCCCCCCGAGCCGAAATCCTGGGTACGCCACTGCCTCCTATCCATCTGTGACAAAATTTGAGGTAGGTTCATTCTGCCGAGACGCTGCCTTTAATCTTCAAACATAGCATACGGCGTTGACAAAGCATCGAGCCCCCTTCGCAGTTGCAATTGCAAATCTATAGCAAACGCACACGAGTAAGAGTGATAGCATCCGAAAAACATATATGTTGAAATTTTGCAAGGGAAATTGAAACTAGCACAAATTTTCCAAAATGGGTAAAATTGGCAGCCTTGTATTTGAAGGAAAAAAACACCGAGGATCAGTAGAAATTTTCTCTGGAATGTGTTAAAAGGATTGCCTTCAGGCCAATCGGATCACTGACTTTCCAGAACGAACTAAGGCCCGTATGCACTAGGATCCCTGCGAGGGGCGGCGAAGGGAGCGGCGACCCAAAGAGACGCGGGCGAACGCTGGAGGTCCTTCCTCTCGCCGCAAGGACGTTATGCATAACGGACCTAAGGGCCGCATGCATTGACGTCCTCGGGGAGGAAAACACAGATTCAAAAAACTTCATAAATTGAAGCTCCAGATACCTGGATTTCTTGCTGTCTATTCATCTGCAAGTGTTTCCACTACCCTTTACTATAAACATATTGAGCAGGGGCGAGAACTTGTGTAAGCTGCATTTTCCAGCATTTTATATGATCCCCTGATGATTTCCAGCGGCCAGACGTTTTCTTCAAAGTCATTTTTCTTCCTTTAAGGTTAATGAAAACACCCCAAAGTTGTGCTGATTATCTAGCCAAACATGTTTCTGATAAGGACAAATGATGTATCGCAATTATAAAAATTGCGATGAAACACGTAGAAAGTTGGGGATTTACTAAAATTTCCAGCATTTTTTGACTCGGAAGCACTAACCATATTGTAGCTACTGCGAGCAGGGCGGAAACTTTCGGTGTGGATGTTATCGAGGCTTCCATGTGAGAAGTGCGATTTTGTAGAGACGCGATGTCGATTCCCTATAAATGGGTTAGCCTTATTATCACTTTGACTAAGTTCCAACTAAGAACAGGAGAGTTACTGCCTGCCCATGAAATAGTAAAAGAAAGGCAAAAGGAAGTGGCAAATCAAAAAGATGTCGTGTGACAGAAATGAGGAAGAAATCTTGGCAAACGGTAAATGACAAACGAAGTAATAATTACTTACATGCAGATGACGAGGTGGCAGACTGATGCGAATCTTTATATCGAATATCCGTTTTAACATCAAAAGATTCGAAGCTGGTCGCCTAAACTCCAGTTTCAAAAAAAAAATAAAAAAAAAAAATTTAGCGTACCCTCTTTCTCCCGCGATCGAATGACGGATATTCGTATTGATAGGTTGAACGAAGACAAAAATCTCGGGAGTTATCACGAGGGTTCGCTGTCATGTCCACGAGTGATCGATCTTCATCAAAAATTTGCGAATCCTTAGGTCGCCTGATGTCGTAACGCTCTCCTTTTACAAATACATAAACTTCCTGATTTATTGTTTTGCCAACAAATGGACTGCAGCTTTCGAATATGTCTGAGTCCTTAGGGACTACAATCTTATGCCGTTCCCCTTTCGATGCTGCGAAATCTTGGTGGCTTATCGACGAACTCGGAAGTGAGTCTTTATATTTCAGAATATTCGAATCCTTAGGACGCTTCATGTCGTACCGTTCCCCTCTTACTAAAACAAATTCCTCCTGATTGGCTGTTTTGCACGCAAAAGAACCACCGCCTTGTAAAATTCCCGAATCTTTAGGAAGTCTAACATCGTACCGCTCTCCTTTCACCGTGATATATTCATGTTGCTTCAAGGTTTTGTCAGCAAAAGAGCCATCGTTCTCCAAGATTTGCGAAGCTTTAGGACGCCTAACAGCGTAGTGTTCTCCTTTCATCGTAACGTAATCTTGCTGGTTCGTAGTCTTTCTAGTGAAGGGTCCATCACCCTTTAGGATTCCAGAATCCTTAGGACGCTTGGCATCGTAGCGTTCTCCTTTCACGGTGACGAAATCTTGCTGGTTCATAGTCTTGCCTGCGAAGGACCCATCGCCATTCAGGATTTCTGAATCCTTGGGACGCTTCGTGTCGTAGCGCTCTCCTTTCACGTTGACAAAGTCGTGCTGATTCATGGTCATATCGGCGAAAGAACCATCGCCCTGTAAAATCTCCGAGTCCTCTGGACGTATGGTATCGGAACGTTCTCCCTTCACTGAGACATACTCTTGTTGATTCATGGTCTTGTCGGTGAACGATCCATCACCCTTCAGGATTTCGGAATCCTTAGGTCGCTTGGCATCATAGCGCTCTCCTTTCACCGTGACGAAATCTTGCTGGTTCATAGTCTTGCCTGCGAAGGATCCATCACCCTTTAAGATTTCGGAATCCTTGGGTCGCTTAGCATCGTAGCGTTCTCCTTTCACGGTGACGAAATCTTGCTGGTTCATAGTCTTGCCTGCGAAGGACCCATCGCCATTCAGGATTTCTGAATCCTTGGGACGCTTCGTGTCGTAGCGCTCTCCTTTCACGTTGACAAAGTCGTGCTGATTCGCGGTCATATCGGCGAAAGAACCATCGCCCTGTAAAATCTCCGAGTCCTCTGGACGTATGGTATCGGAACGTTCTCCCTTCACTGAGACATACTCTTGTTGATTCATGGTCTTGTCGGTGAACGATCCATCACCCTTGAGGATTTCGGAATCCTTAGGTCGCTTGGCATCATAGCGCTCTCCTTTCACCGTGACGAAATCTTGCTGGTTCATAGTCTTGCCAGCGAAGGATCCATCACCCTTTAAGATTTCGGAATCCTTGGGCCGCTTGGCATCGTAGCGTTCTCCTTTCACGGTGACGAAATCTTGCTGGTTCATAGTCTTGCCTGCGAAGGACCCATCGCCATTCAGGATTTCTGAATCCTTGGGACGCTTCGTGTCGTAGCGCTCTCCTTTCACGTTGACAAAGTCGTGCTGATTCACGGTCATATCGGCGAAAGAACCATCGCCCTGTAAAATCTCCGAGTCCTCTGGACGTATGGTATCGGAGCGTTCTCCCTTCACTGAGACATACTCTTGTTGATTCATGGTCTTGTCGGTGAACGATCCATCACCCTTCAGGATTTCGGAATCCTTAGGTCGCTTGGCATCATAGCGCTCTCCTTTCACCGTGACGAAATCTTGCTGGTTCATAGTCTTGCCAGCGAAGGATCCATCACCCTTTAAGATTTCGGAATCCTTGGGTCGCTTAGCATCGTAGCGTTCTCCCTTCACGGTGACGAAATCTTGCTGGTTCATAGTCTTGCCTGCGAAGGACCCATCGCCATTCAGGATTTCTGAATCCTTGGGACGCTTCGTGTCGTAGCGCTCTCCTTTCACGTTGACAAAGTCGTGCTGATTCGCGGTCATATCGGCGAAAGAACCATCGCCCTGTAAAATCTCCGAGTCCTCTGGACGTATGGTATCGGAACGTTCTCCCTTCACTGAGACATACTCTTGTTGATTCATGGTCTTGTCGGTGAACGATCCATCACCCTTGAGGATTTCGGAATCCTTAGGTCGCTTGGCATCATAGCGCTCTCCTTTCACCGTGACGAAATCTTGCTGGTTCATAGTCTTGCCAGCGAAGGATCCATCACCCTTTAAGATTTCGGAATCCTTGGGCCGCTTGGCATCGTAGCGTTCTCCTTTCACGGTGACGAAATCTTGCTGGTTCATAGTCTTGCCTGCGAAGGACCCATCGCCATTCAGGATTTCTGAATCCTTGGGACGCTTCGTGTCGTAGCGCTCTCCTTTCACGTTGACAAAGTCGTGCTGATTCACGGTCATATCGGCGAAAGAACCATCGCCCTGTAAAATCTCCGAGTCCTCTGGACGTATGGTATCGGAGCGTTCTCCCTTCACTGAGACATACTCTTGTTGATTCATGGTCTTGTCGGTGAACGATCCATCACCCTTCAGGATTTCGGAATCCTTAGGTCGCTTGGCATCATAGCGCTCTCCTTTCACCGTGACGAAATCTTGCTGGTTCATAGTCTTGCCAGCGAAGGATCCATCACCCTTTAAGATTTCGGAATCCTTGGGTCGCTTAGCATCGTAGCGTTCTCCCTTCACGGTGACGAAATCTTGCTGGTTCATAGTCTTGCCTGCGAAGGACCCATCGCCATTCAGGATTTCTGCATCCTTGGGACGCTTCGTGTCGTAGCGCTCTCCTTTCACGTTGACAAAGTCGTGCTGATTCGCGGTCATATCGGCGAAAGAACCATCGCCCTGTAAAATCTCCGAGTCCTCTGGACGTATGGTATCGGAACGTTCTCCCTTCACTGAGACATACTCTTGTTGATTCATGGTCTTGTCGGTGAACGATCCATCACCCTTCAGGATTTCGGAATCCTTAGGTCGCTTGGCATCATAGCGCTCTCCTTTCACCGTGACGAAATCTTGCTGGTTCACAGTCTTGCCTGCGAAGGACCCATCGCCATTCAGGATTTCTGAATCCTTGGGACGCTTCGTGTCGTAGCGCTCTCCTTTCACGTTGACAAAGTCGTGCTGATTCATGGTCATATCGGCGAAAGAACCATCGCCCTGTAAAATCTCCGAGTCCTCTGGACGTATGGTATCGGAACGTTCCCCCTTCACTGAGACATACTCTTGTTGATTCATGGTCTTGTCGGTGAACGATCCATCACCCTTCAGGATTTCGGAATCCTTAGGTCGCTTGGCATCATAGCGCTCTCCTTTCACCGTGACGAAATCTTGCTGGTTCATAGTCTTGCCAGCGAAGGATCCATCACCCTTTAAGATTTCGGAATCCTTGGGCCGCTTGGCATCGTAGCGTTCTCCTTTCACGGTGACGAAATCTTGCTGGTTCATAGTCTTGCCTGCGAAGGACCCATCGCCATTCAGGATTTCTGAATCCTTGGGACGCTTCGTGTCGTAGCGCTCTCCTTTCACGTTGACAAAGTCGTGCTGATTCATACTCATATCGGCGAAAGAACCATCGCCCTGTAAAATCTCCGAGTCCTCTGGACGTATGGTATCGGAACGTTCTCCCTTCACTGAGACATACTCTTGTTGATTCATGGTCTTGTCGGTGAACGATCCATCACCCTTCAGGATTTCGGAATCCTTAGGTCGCTTGGCATCATAGCGCTCTCCTTTCACCGTGACGAAATCTTGCTGGTTCATAGTCTTGCCTGCGAAGGATCCATCACCCTTTAAGATTTCGGAATCCTTGGGTCGCTTAGCATCGTAGCGTTCTCCTTTCACGGTGACGAAATCTTGCTGGTTCATAGTCTTGCCTGCGAAGGACCCATCGCCATTCAGGATTTCTGAATCCTTGGGACGCTTCGTGTCGTAGCGCTCTCCTTTCACGTTGACAAAGTCGTGCTGATTCACGGTCATATCGGCGAAAGAACCATCGCCCTGTAAAATCTCCGAGTCCTCTGGACGTATGGTATCGGAGCGTTCTCCCTTCACTGAGACATACTCTTGTTGATTCATGGTCTTGTCGGTGAACGATCCATCACCCTTCAGGATTTCGGAATCCTTAGGTCGCTTGGCATTATAGCGCTCTCCTTTCACCGTGACGAAATCTTGCTGGTTCATAGTCTTGCCAGCGAAGGATCCATCACCCTTTAAGATTTCGGAATCCTTGGGCCGCTTGGCATCGTAGCGTTCTCCTTTCACGGTGACGAAATCTTGCTGGTTCATAGTCTTGCCTGCGAAGGACCCATCGCCATTCAGGATTTCTGAATCCTTGGGACGCTTCGTGTCGTAGCGCTCTCCTTTCACGTTGACAAAGTCGTGCTGATTCATGGTCATATCGGCGAAAGAACCATCGCCCTGTAAAATCTCCGAGTCCTCTGGACGTATGGTATCGGAACGTTCTCCCTTCACTGAGACATACTCTTGTTGATTCATGGTCTTGTCGGTGAACGATCCATCACCCTTCAGGATTTCGGAATCCTTAGGTCGCTTGGCATCATAGCGCTCTCCTTTCACCGTGACGAAATCTTGCTGGTTCATAGTCTTGCCTGCGAAGGATCCATCACCCTTTAAGATTTCGGAATCCTTGGGTCGCTTAGCATCGTAGCGTTCTCCTTTCACGGTGACGAAATCTTGCTGGTTCATAGTCTTGCCTGCGAAGGACCCATCGCCATTCAGGATTTCTGAATCCTTGGGACGCTTCGTGTCGTAGCGCTCTCCTTTCACGTTGACAAAGTCGTGCTGATTCACGGTCATATCGGCGAAAGAACCATCGCCCTGTAAAATCTCCGAGTCCTCTGGACGTATGGTATCGGAGCGTTCTCCCTTCACTGAGACATACTCTTGTTGATTCATGGTCTTGTCGGTGAACGATCCATCACCCTTCAGGATTTCGGAATCCTTAGGTCGCTTGGCATCATAGCGCTCTCCTTTCACCGTGACGAAATCTTGCTGGTTCATAGTCTTGCCAGCGAAGGATCCATCACCCTTTAAGATTTCGGAATCCTTGGGTCGCTTGGCATCGTAGCGTTCTCCTTTCACGGTGACGAAATCTTGCTGGTTCATAGTCTTGCCTGCGAAGGACCCATCGCCATTCAGGATTTCTGAATCCTTGGGACGCTTCGTGTCGTAGCGCTCTCCTTTCACGTTGACAAAGTCGTGCTGATTCATGGTCATATCGGCGAAAGAACCATCGCCCTGTAAAATCTCCGAGTCCTCTGGATGTATGGTATCGGAACGTTCTCCCTTCACTGAGACATACTCTTGTTGATTCATGGTCTTGTCGGTGAACGATCCATCACCCTTCAGGATTTCGGAATCCTTAGGTCGCTTGGCATCATAGCGCTCTCCTTTCACCGTGACGAAATCTTGCTGGTTCATAGTCTTGCCAGCGAA